TGACCGCCACCGGAGCCACTCCTCTGCGACGAGCCACGACCTCCTCCGCCGCCTCCTCCGCCGCCGCCGCCACCACCTCCGCTGCCACCGCCACTCCCACCGTCGCTGCCGCCACCGCCGCCTCCGCCTCCACTCCCACCACCACCGCCGCTGCCACCCCCGCCTCCACTGCCGCCGCCGACACCTCCACTCCCGACACCACTCCCGCTACCACCCCCACCTCCTCCGCTGCCTCCACCGCCGCTCCCACCGCCCCCGCCGCCTCCACCACCGCTCCTGCCCCCTTTGCCCTTGCTAGAGCGACGTCTCCCACTGGGGGCAGACGCCGCACCGACCGACTCAAAACCAACTAGGTCGGCCGTAGCAGCAGAGGCGACAAGGGGCAGGAGGGGGGAGGGGGAACACCCCTCAAAGATGGGGGTGCGCGGGTCACCACGAGAGGCCCCTACAGCGAGAATGCTCTTCTCGGCTGCTAGGAGGGACTTCTCGAGGAGGCTAACAGTGAGAGTGGTGGGGCAGACTGAGAGTAAGTCGTCCCTGACTCCGCGGAGGGAGTCAGGGAGGCGGGTGACAATGTAGTAGAGAGTGAAGTACTGGGGGGGGGGGGTTCTTGGCGCAGAACTCAGCAGGAAGCGCAGCGCGGAAGCGAGCGTCTCTAGTGCGCAGGTGGGTAATGAGGTCGGCGACTGTGGCAAAAGAAGCAAGGTTGGGAAAGAGGTACGGTAGCATGAGGCGGCTCAGTGCAGCAGTGGCAGGGGTGGAGTAGCGTGCAATAACGGCGTCGTACAAGGTCTGAGCACTCTTGTACGACCCAAAGTGTGCACGCTCAGAGGGAGGGAGGTGGCGACGTACAGCAAGACGTGCAGCAGCATCGCGTGTGGCCCACTGTGAGCGAACAGTGGCATCCTCAGTAGCAGCAGGGGCGGGAGAGGCACCAGAAGTGAGGTCAAAGAGAGAGAGGCCGTCAGCTCTGTCGCACTGTAGGAAAAGCAGCAGGTCGTCTACCCACACGTCAAAGTCGATGGCTCTGCCCTCAGCGTCGAAGGTGAGGACACTGGGGGTAGCCATGACAGCAGTGGGGTAAGGGCAGTGCGCAGAGTAAAGCTCAGTGCTCACCAGACAGGGCAGTGCAGGCGGCTCGGGCGGCTCGGCGGGTCGGCTGCTGGGCGGCTCGGGCGGCTCGGCGGCTCGGGCGGCTCGGGCGGCTCAGCTGCTGGGGCGGCTCGGCTGCTGGGGCGGCTCGGCTGCTGGGGCGGCTCGGTTGCTGGGGCGGCTCGGCTGCTGGGGCGGCTCGGCTGCTGGGGCGGCGCAGTTGCTGGGGCGGCGGGGCCGGGAGATGCAGCTGCGGGGCCGTTAGGGGTAGTGGCGGGGCCGGCAGGTGAGACGGCGGGGCCTGCAGATGCAGCAGCGGGGCCGTCAGGGGTAGCGGCGGGGCCGGTAGGTGCAGTGGCGGGGCCGTCAGAGGGGACGGCGGGGCCGTTAGGTGCAGCGGCGGGGCCGTCAGAGGGGACGGCGGGGCCGTCAGGTGCAGCGGCGGGGCCGTCTGAAGCAGCGGCGGGGCCGGCAGAGGGGACAGCGGGGCCGTCGGGTGCAGCGGCGGGGCCGGCAGAGGGGACGGCGGGGCCGTCAAGCGCAGCGGCGGGGCCGGCAGAGGGGACGGCGGTGTCAGAGGTCCACTGGTGATCCCCGATCGATCCTAGGGAAGGGTTACAGGCACGTTTGCCTGGGGGGTTATGGGCGCACTGACCCGCTACTGAAACAAGCCCTTTTATCCCAATGGTCTAGTGGTTGGGATTCTGAGATGGTATCAGAGCGGTCTCGGGTTCGATTCCCGGTGTATGCACATGTAGGCCGTTGCCGCTGTGCTTAGTCCTGGGCCTCCCAGTGTGGGGGGGTGTCAGTAGATCTGCACTGTGGATGCCCGATTGATCCTGGAGAGGGTTACAGGCGCGTTCGCGTGGGGGGTTATGGGCGCACTGACCCGCTACTAAAACAAGCCCTTCTATCCCAATGGTCTAGTGGTTGGGATTCTGATATGGTATCAGAGCGAAGGTCTCGGGTTCGAATCCCGGTGTATACACTTCGGGCATCCCAGTGCGGGGGGGTGTCAGAGGTCCACTGGTGATCCCCGATCGATCCTAGGGAAGGGTTACAGGCACGTTTGCCTGGGGGGTTATGGGCGCACTGACCCGCTACTGAAACAAGCCCTTTTATCCCAATGGTCTAGTGGTTGGGATTCTGAGAGGCGGGGCCGTCAAGCGCAGCGGAGGGGCCGGTAGAGGGGACGGCGGGGCCGTCGCAGGCGATCGCGGGGCCGTCAGAGACGGCGCCGGCGTCGCGAGGGTCAGAGGGGGGCGGCGCGCGACTGGAGGGCGGCACGCGCGACGCGGCGCGGCCGTCTAGGGGCGGCGCGACGAGGCCGCGTAGGTGGCGCGTCAAAAATTCACGGGCGGCTCGACGCGATCGGGCCGCCAAAGGAAAAAAAAAGGCCCAGCGCGACTCGGGCTAGGGCAGAGCGCGCTCCGGGCAGGACGGAATAGTAGGTGGGCCCTAGGAACAGTTCCCACTAGGGAACCTGCTCGATACCATGTTGAGATAGAGGCGAGGAATGAGTGCACTATGAAATGAAACAAGTACAAGTACCAACCCTAATTGGGTTGTACCCCCTATGGGCTACCCCACTACAGCCTAAATATATGCATCAGTAATATAATCATCTGACAAGTGCCACGGTACCGAGTACCGCAGGTTCCCTCTAGCGAACCTACGGCGGTTGATGCGTCAGCTTCGGATTGTCCCATATAAAGCTGAAACTACCCTTCCGTGACCAATGCGATGTCGTAAGGAAGCATGCGATGCCGTTTAGACTTTGACGAGCTCGCTCCAATTTCGTAACCACACAACCGTCGGGACGGTTGGCCGTCGTGACGAAAAAAATGGAAAATGTCACACGCCTTCTGAAAACACGTTTAGGGGGTGTCCAAGCTCGTACATTTACTGTTCGTAAGCCCGCTCAGTTACCACATTTTTTGTTGTAACACTTTATTGAACGTGTTCTGCGGACACAATCAGCTTTCGTTCACAAAACGGCACGTCCCCTGCACGTACCTCGAGTCGTCTGACTCACGTTACTCGAATCAGCGGGACGCGAACAAGGGTACAGCACCGCGTCCTGGCCACTACAGTAGTGCCCCCTGTATCGCTTGCACAATTTCGCCAGTAGCTCGCTACACTCGCCAACACCCCCCCCCCCCCCCCCCCCGCCTGCCGAAAAATTCGTTGGCTATGATTGACGAGGGAAACTGTTACCTCGTTTCGAACGCGATCAGAGCACTGTTGATTCGTGTGGCGGAGAACGTGTCCGCACTCCTGAAATTACAGGTAGGTGGGACTCAACTCACAATGCATTCGTTTTTAGGTACAGTGAATATTTTTGAACCTCGATACGTGTGTTGGCACTAAAACCCCCGAAATGAACGAACTGGACACGCCCTTAGGGCGTGTTGAATCGGAAACTCACAAAATTCGGCCACAATCCGTCGGGCCGTTTCTGCAACGGTAACCAGTTTGCGATATCCGTTAGTCAGGTGGCGACAGTCGCACTTTTCGTTAAAAAAATAACGAATTTGATGGCCGTTTAAAATGTCGACACGGAAACGACGCCGAGTCGACTCCAAAACGGCCAAGTAGTCTACACAGTGTGCGACAATCGCCCGTGACGTCGCACGGTTTTGCCCTACGACGAACTTTGTGATCGCGTCGAATGAGAAATATCGTCGTCGGAAGTGCGACCCCGTCGCACATACTCGACTACTGTAGTAACTGCGAATTTAAAAGCGTGTTCAAAGTACTGCATTCCTCGTCGTCGAGGTAGGTCGGGGAATTTCAACCCTCGGATCTAAGATTCCAATGGTCCCGATTCACCGATATGCTTCGACGTCGAACTGGTGCAGTACTTCGAACACGTTTTAACAACTTTTCCGAACCGGCCTGCAAATCGGCCACCTAAGCTGTGTAATCGCCAAAACTGAAAACGGTGGCTGAAAAAGAGTCGACTCTGAATCGGCCACCTCGTCGTTGTTCGCGAAAAACATGACGACCATTTGGTCGTCGAAAATTCGGCTACACCCCATTTTCGGAACTGTGCGGGGACGCCTTGAGGTTGATGCTCGCCGATTTCGCCTAGGATTCATCCAATGCTCAAGGCGGCTTGGGTTACCTAGCCTGGTACTGTGCAGTAGTTCGTATGCGACGCAGAGCTCCCCCCTAGGACCTACCTTTTCCTGTTCGGCGATTTCGGTTCGGACCAACCAAGCCTTTCGTTGATGTAGCACGTTCCTATGACATGTGGTTGTGGGTGCCTCCCGTCCGTCATATGTCCACTCCACATGTTCCACCCAAGAAGCACTCCCTGGCAAGATTTACTGTGCATCGTAGCCCTGACGTTTTCTGGGAAATCGAACAATTACCTTTCTGGTCATTTGGTATCGGCTGGGCTGCTCAACAAAGAAGTTTTGTTGAAACAATAGCTTATTTGTGTCAAATTGTGTCTAAATCCTAAGCTGGTCTTCGTTAGAAGAAAGAAAAACTAGCACTGAAAGCTCAGGGATAAGTAGAGAAATACACTAAACCTGAAAACTTTCCAGCAAGGTGCACGGTGCGCACCTGCAACAAGACTCCAGTTCGCACTTGTGACACTTGCAGCGGAATCTGGGGTACTGTACCATTTCAGTTTCGTCCCGCCTTCGCCATCTTTAGTGTTGACTCTGAACCATCCAACCCCAAAAATCTGCAAGCCAATCGTCGTTATCTTTCTCCTAGTTTCCTGGTTTTCTTTCTTTATTCCCACGCACTTTCCAGACGACAAAGAACACGTGCGTCTGAAACAAGCCGTCAGTGATCAGTTGCACAGAAAACAAGATGAGCCTTTTCCGTTGCCTCGCCTGCTTAGTGCCTCTCAGCGAATGAAGCAGTAGCGAGCGCAACTAGCGGCAAATGTCATGGCGGAGGCGGTCGCAGTGGTGCGCGCGAAGAGGGCTGCGGAGGCGGCGGGGGCCCACGGCGAGGCGGAGTCGCAGTTTCCGCGGTCGATGAGTTTGCTGGAGGAGAAATTCGACGCGTACGAGCAAGCCAACCTCATGATATTCCGATCCAAGTCCGACGGCGCGCCGAGGTAAGGCCTACTATGGCTTGCGCCGCTCCTCTGACATCTTTAAAGGACGACCAATTTGACGAAGGAGTTTAATTGGAGGGTCTCGCTCTTCATATCTGTACCGGTTTATCAACAATTGCTAGTCAGAAGTGATCACCAGTAGTACTGGTAGAACTCCGTTGTGGAATTCCTTCCCTGAACGTGCCTTCTTTCCTGTTCTCCTCACACGACGTCGCGACACGTCACTCATCGAGCAGCAGCAGCAGCACGCGCGACTCGGGTCCCCTCGACACCCCCGACGGCAGCTTCGGCCCGGCTAATGCGGAGCTCGCGACACGTGGCGCCCGCACGTCGCTGAGACTGCCCGATTCCGCCACCGGGGGGGAGGATTTCGCGAACGACGATGCGGAGGCGAGGGGGGCATGGGGAGGGGGAACAGGCGGGGGAGGGGGTGGCGGAGGGGGGGGCGCTTCGCGCCGTGAGGGTTTGGGAAACGAGCGGGCAGGGATCAGCAGCAGCAGCAGCAGCGGCAGCAGCAGCGGCAGTGGAAGCAACGCGGAAGACGACGAGAGGGGATCACTTGGTGCCGTTTCCCTCTCGTGCCGGCCCCAAAGCACGCGGGAGAGACACGGCGAAGGGTGTGTCACTGCCGGAAAGGGCAGCAGCAGGGAGACACGGCGCGGCGGGGAAGGGGACAGCTGCGGAAACGAGCACGCGGAGAGCGGAGGGGATGCTCTTGGGGAAGCGTGCGGGGGGGGAACGGGGGGAACGAGCATGCGGAGAGGGGGAGCGGAGGAGGGGGTTGGTGCTCCGCTGATGCGCAGTTTTTCAGAGGACCGTGGGCGGAACGGGGTAGCTTGTCCGCGCTCGGAGAGTGTTGTGCAGCAACTGCATGACACAGAGATGGATGAGATGGACGGCGAGGTGCTGCAAGGTAAGTCCAGGTTCAGAGCGGTGCTATGCAACGGTCGAGGGGTGTAGAAGTTGAGTGAGCTTATGTTTTTGCCTTAGGTCTCTTGCTTCTTGTCCGGCTCCTTATCTCCCCTTCTTCCGTCCCATCTCCCCGTTCCCCTCCTGGCTCCTCTCCTCACCCCTCTCCTCACCCCTCTCCTCACCCCTCTCCTCACCTTTCGCCTCACCCCTCTCCGTACCCCTCGCCTCCCACCGTCCGCGAAGAACCACATACAGCCCACCTCAGCCTCACTGTCTTCTCTCCACGCACCACCTCCCTCGCCCCTTCCTCAACTCTCCACTCTTCCTCTACTCCCCTTCTCCCCCGTTCCCACCCCGCGCCCACCAGAGGCCTTCACACGAGTGCTGGCGCTGCAGAAGCGAGTGCTGCACTACCGCGACCTGGGGGGCTTCGTGCTGCTCATGGCTCTCTTCATCACCATCCTCTACCTGCAGGCCGACTCCTCCCGTAGCTATGACATCACTGCTGCACACTCCGTGCTCTATCCTCCTGTGAGCCTGCTGCTCCCTTACCTCCCTCCCCCCCTAACCCCACTCTCTCCCTCCCCTCTGTACCCCACTCCCCCCTTCCCCAGTCTATCTATTCTCCTCTTCCCCTCCCGAACCCACTCTCCCCTTCCCCCGTACCTCACCCCCCCCCACCCTCCCCCCGTACCCTGCCTTCCTTCCTCCGCCACTCCCGTGAACACTCTATCCCCCACTCCATGTGCCGTCCCTTGCGTGTGGTGTGGCGTGGTGTGGTGTGGTGTCGTGTGGTGTGGTGCAGGGCATGAGGCAGGACGGCACCAACACCTTTGCTGGCGCGGATGATTTCTATCAGTGGCTCAACAACAGCATCATTCAAGTAGGCGCACTCTCACACTCCCATACTACCCACGTGCCCTCGCGCTCATGCACCCATACACCGTTGCACCCATGCGTGCGCCCATGCAGCCCTGCAGCCATGCACCCATGCATCCATGCACCCATGCACTCATGCACCCATGCACCCACGCACTCATGCAGCCAACCTATGCACCCATACACCCATCTTGAACCCTCCTGCGTTGCAAGCTTCACCAGCAGGTGCACCCCCCTCCGCATGGCTGAAGCCACACCTGCATAACTCCTCCCACAACCTCTACCTTCAACCCAACCCCCACCTGCACCCACCCTCACCGCCTCCAACCCTTCCTCTCCCTATCATCCCCACCCCACCTCTCGCCCTCCGCGCCCTCTCCCACACACCTCAGACGCTCTGGGCGGACTTCACGTGTGGCGACGGCACGTGCAACCGCCCCTTCCAGTACCCCGCGTTCGGCCGCTTTGGCTGTCAGGCAGACTGCGGCACGTTCCCCAACCTCACCTCCGTCGTCGTGCGCCTCTCCTCACAGCTGCACACACAGGAGGCTGCAGAGCAGTCCTCTTGGAACCTCTGCATGGTCAACCCCGTCTCGCTCTGCTGGTAATTTCTCAGGTTTGACAGACTTATGAGGTAAGGCGCCTTGACATAGAGCAGAGCAGAGCAGAGCAGAGCAGAGCAGAGCAGAGCAGAGCAGAGCAGAGCAGAGCAGAGCAGAGCAGAGCAGAGCAGAGCAGAGCAGAGCAGAGCAGAGCAGAGCAGAGCAGAGCAGAGCAGCGCAGCGCAGCGCAGAGCAGCGCAGCGCAGAGCAGCGCAGCGCAGAGCAGCGCAGAGCAGCGCAGAGCAGAGCAGAGCAGCGCAGAGCAGAGCAGAGCACTCTTAATGGAACCTCTGCATGGTCAACCCCGTCTCGCTCTGCTGGTAAGCCTGCTGCCTGCCTGACTGGAAGCAGACAGAGAGGTATTTCATTTTTTGAGCTAAGGAGGCTAAGCTATAGCAGCCCTCGTGGATCCTGTGCGTGATCAACCCCGTCTCGTTCTGTTGGTGATTTCTGAGTCGCAGACTCAAAACCGAGTTGCCTTGTGAGTCCACTCCACTCATAACAACCACTGATGTGACCTATGAGTTGTGCACTGCAGCACACCCACCCACCCACCCACCCACCCACCCACCGCCATGTTTTTCCCTCTGCTCCCGTCCCTTCCCTTTCTGTGCAATCCTCGCATGCCTCCTATGCCTCTCATGCCTCCCATCCCCCCTTCTCCCACTCTCCTCTCCCTCCCCACCGCCCGACAAGGTACGAGGCCCCACAGCCGTTCCCACAGGGCGAGGTGGACAGCTCAGTGCCATTGGACATTCCAGACGGTGACTGGGTGGTGGTGCTCAACGCGCCCTTGGGGGGCATCCGAGGCACGCTGCATGCCGCTCCCCCCGGCACGCGACGCCTGGCCGCCGTTGGGTCGTCCAGCACAGTGGAACTAGCTTCATGGGGGTACTGTGCGCATGGCAAGGATGGTGCTGAGACCGATGGCAGTGGCGCGGCGGTGGATGATGCTGGCTCTGCGGGTGCTGTTGCTGGGAGTGACATCTGTCGCTATGTGAGTGGGCCGTTTGCTGGTTGGTTGCTCACTTTGTTGATGGATCTCGATTGTTTTGGAGTCCTGGAAACCAGCAGGTGTTGATTATGTTGTGCGTCAGAAACAAAGGGTCTTGTGTTCTTATGCAAGCAAGCAGGCGTGCATATGTGATGGTGCAACTGGTGTTCGTGAATCCCTCTCTTCTTTTTTTTTTTTTTTTGGTTGACTCAAAGCCCTTCGACTCAAAAGCAAGCAGGCATGCGTATGTGATTATGCAGCTGGTGTTCGCGAATCACTGCTAATGTAGCTAAATGGCGAATCTCATGCAATCCGCTACATGTTGCTATCCCATGCAAGCCGATACATGTTACTGTCGGAGCAGCACAGTGTCCTCTCTCCACTCATCCAACGCCACTTCTACACTACACCACCCCACGGGATGCATGCATGTGCATGCGTGCGTATGTGCATGAATGTATGTATGCGTGTGTGCATGTGAGGATGTGTGCATGTGTGGATGTGTGAATGTGTGCGTGTGGGCATGTGTGCATGTGTGGATGTGTGCATGTGTGTATGTGTGCATGCGTGCATGTGTGCTTGTGTGCATGTGTGCATGAATGCATGCATGTGTGCATGTGTGAATGTGTGTATGTGTGCATGAGTGCATGTGTGCATGTGTGTATGATGCATGTGTGCATGTGTGCATGTGTGTGCATGAGTGCATGTGTGCATGTGTACATGTATGCATGTGTGCATGTGTGCATGTGTGCATGTGTGCATGTGTGCATGTGTACATGTGTGCATGTGTGCATGTATGCATGTGTGCATGCAGACGTGTGTGAGGCTCGCCACATGTCTGCCAGAAGCGTGTCACCGCACATTCACAGAGAGGGAGGTGGCAGGCGCGTTCGTGGACTGTGCGCGCATGTGCATCATCGCGCCCGCTGCCATCTCTCCCTATGCCGCCTCCTCTTGCCCCTTTGTACGTCCATCCATCCATGGTCCCGGTGTGTTTTGAGCTGACTTAGAGCACTCATTCTGCACCTTTGCACGTCCAACCACCTGTCGTCTTGTCTTGTCTTGTCTTGCCTTGTCTTGCCTTGTCTTGTCTTGATGTGTCTTGTTTTGCCTTGTCTTGTTTTGTCTTGTCTTGCCTTGTCTTCTCTTGTTTTGTCTTGTCTTGCCTTGTCTTGTCTTGTCTTGTCTTGTCTTGTCTTGCCTTGTCTTGCCTTGTCTTGATGTGTCTTGTTTTGCCTTGTCTTGTCTTGTCTTGTCTTGTCTTGTCTTGTCTTGCCTTGTCTTGTCTTGTCTTGTCTTGTCTTGTCTTGCCTTGTCTTGTCTTGTCTTGTCTTGTCTTGTCTTGTCTTGTCTTGTTTGTCTTGCCTTGTCTTGTCTTGCCTTGTCTTGTCTTGTCTTGTCTTGTCTTGTCTTGTCTTGTCTTCTGAGTCGACTTAAAGGTGGCAAAGGTACGCCATTGTGCTGTGCTGTGCCATGCCATGGCGTGCGCTTTTGCAGGTTGTGTGTTCCCCCCGCATACATCCATGCTGCTCTGTGCATATCTCGCTCACGTGCTCAACCACCCCCGCCCTTGCTTTCCTCTCCGGTCTCCCCCCTTTACCCCCATCCCACCCCACCCCATTCCACTCCACTCTCGAGTGCCATATGTTAATCAACTGAGTGCATATCTCAACCGCTTGAGCATTGACTTGGGGGCCACTTTCCAGCTGCTTTACTGTTCTCTCCTCTGCTGCCCTGTTGACTGCTGCTCACGTGTCTTCCCCGTGTCTGCCCTTCGGGTTGCTCGTAATCACCTCATATGTGTCTCCTCTGCTTCTCACTCGCCCTCCTTTCCCTCCCCCATGCTGCCACAGCCTGACATGCCCACCATATTCCCCAACACCCCCTGCAACGCCTCAGGTACTCACTGCCCACCCACCACGCCCATGGGATGGGATCTTATCGCGCTCACATGACATGCCATGACATGCCATGACATGCCATGACATGACATGCCATGACATGCCATGGCATGTCATGGCATGTCATGGCATGTCATGGCATGTCATGGCATACCATCCCATCAACGACAGTATCTATCTAGCCCCTCTCCACACCTTGTGTAACGCGCTGATTCTGGCTCACACGTTCGCACTGCACCGCACTGCACCCACCAGCACCCCTTGGGCCTCGTGCCTGGGTCTCACAGCGTGCCAGTGGGGTCAATCACGTGGCAGTGGGTGTCCCAGATACGTGACTTGCGTGAGAGTGCTGGTGCCACTGCCACTGCAGCTCACCACCACTCACATGCAACGCAACTCACGACTCACAGCCACTGCACTGCAGGGGTTCGTTCGTAGCGCCTACAGATTTCATAGTTCCAATGCCCGCATGCTGCTCACAGGCCTTCCCCCCCCCCCTTCCTCCACCCTTTCTCCCCCCCCTTCTCTCTCCCTCTCGCTCTTTTATGCTCAACTGTGCCCTCTCCTCCCTTCCCCTGCCATAAACCACCTCCGGCATCCCACTCACCCCTTCCCTTTGCAAGCACCAGCCGCCAACGCAACGGCTCACATCTCTCGTTCCCGTCGCCGCAAGGTGCCTCTCCACTTCCTGAAAAGAACCCTTTCGCCTCCTTCTACTCTTGCTGCTCTTTGCCTTTTCCTGCATCTCCTTTGCTTGCCCCCCTTTCTCGCAACTCCGCACCATAGGTGCTTGCACTGTGCGGCATTCCTTGTGTTGTGATACCAACCCACCTTGCACCCTTCTGTAACCTCTCGCTCTCCTCTCTCGCTCTCCTCTCTCACTCTCCTGCACTCTCGCTCACGTTGCGCTCTCCTCTCGCTCTCCTCCCTCGCTCTCCTCTCTCGCTCTCCTGCACTCTCGCTCTCCTGCACTCTCGCTTTCCTCTCTCGCTCTCCTGAACTCTCACTTTCCTGTTCTTGCGTTCTCTCTGGACCACCACACCACCATTCCACCGCACCAGGCACAGGCGCTGCGTCGCTTGCACCGCACGCACACACACGGCTACTGGCTTGCCTCCGCAGCCCTCCCTGTCTCCCCCCGTTCAACTGCCGCCTCTCCTCGTCTTCTAGGGGCGCCTGAGCATGCCCCTGCCTCTGCCTCTGCCTCTGCCGCTCCCGCTGCCAATCCTGCTGCTGCCTCTGCCAACTCTCCCCAAGGGACAGCACAGCACGAGCAGAGAGCACCAGGACGGCCAGCAACAGCAGCAGCAGCAGCAGCAGCAGCAGCAAGCCTTGCGCCCAGCTCCCCGTGGCTTCTCCTAGGCGCCACGGACCGGCAGCGGATCACAACGCTGCAGGTGGCAGTATCCCGAGCACTCTTCACAATGGCCAAGGACCGCTGCCTGGCAGGGCGGGCGCCGGGGAGTGTGGCAAAGCACCTGGAGGGAGGTGCGGGCAGCGTGCGGGCAGGCATCGTGGCTTCCCTGTGCACGGCACTGGGAGGGCCTGTTGCAACCATGGAAGAATGCCGGTTGAGAGACGAGACAGGACAGCAGATGGCAGCTGTGGGGGAGATGTATTCGTACCTGCATCGCACACATGTGCGCGGTGGGCGGGTGATCTCGGCGCAGCACATGCGGCGGTTTGTGCAGACGGTGGTGGTGGCGCTGCGGTCGGTGACGGGGCTGGATGAGGCGTCGTGTGCGCGCGTCACCACACTGCTGCATGGGTTTGATGATGCCATTGTCACATCCGATGCCGTCGGGTGCTCACAAGGTGAGGCGTGCTGAGTGTTGATTCGACTAAGAAACGGATACCACGCTGATGCATGGGTTTGATGATGCCGTTGTGACATCCGATGCAGTCGGGTGCTCACAACGTGATATGATGGTTGTGTGATGGCGGTGGTGTTTGTTGTTGGGCCATGCTGTTGCAGCTTTGATGCGCATGTGCGTGTGCATGTACATGTGCATGTGCGTGTGCATGTGCATGTGCGTGTGCATGTGCATGTGCATGTGCATGTGCGTGTGCATGTGCATGTGCATGTGTGGGTGCCTCGCTGCCTGGTGGTGCAGTATTCTTAGAATTCCTTTCAGCACATCCATTTACCCGTACATGCCCGTCTCATTGCAGGTGGAGCGTGGCTGCAGTGGCGCGTAGGTGTGAAACACAACACGACCATCCATGTGGGTGACAAGGTCACATGGGTGTGGGATGACGACCTCCCGCACTCGCTCAGAGGTACTCCTGCTCCTGCTCCTATTGCTGCTCCTGCTCCTATTGCTGCTCCTGCTCCTATTGCTCTCCATCCCATGCTGTTGCTTCCTGTCTCTGTGCATATTCACATCCGTGGGCTATGTGAATCTGCCATTGTGGAATGGAAATGAGTCTGTCGTGTATATGCTGTTGTAGCTGTGTATCATTGTTATGGTGATTCATCGACAGCACCATGTCCCACCACCATCACCATCACCACCGCCACCGCCGCCGCCGCCAGTGCCCCCTCCCCCGCTGCCACTGCCGCCGCCGCTGCCACCGCCACCGCCAGCGACACAGACAGGCGACACGAGCAAAGTGGTCGATTCACGGTGCGTGCTGTTCTGTTCCCTGCACACACACACACACCCCTCTCCACTCCTCCAGTGGCGGGGATGGGCGAGGTGCAAGACTCGCTCTTCCTGGGCTTCGGAGGGCACCGCCCGGCTGTGTCACGGCAGCTTGTGTCGTGCTGGACTTTGCATGCACGCCCCTTCCCTTGCTGTGTCCTGCAAACTTCCCCTCTCGACCTCCCCCCTCCCCAAACCCCCCAATCCTCCAGTGGCGGGGATGGGCGAGGTGCAAGACCCGCTGTTCCTGGGCTTTGGAGGGCACCGCCTGGCCGTGTCACGGCAGCTCGCATGCACGCCCATGAACGTGGGCGCGGGGGATGTTGCTGACTACCCGCTGCCATGTGTCCTGAGTGAGTGCCCGGGTGTGGTGTGGTGTGGTGTGGTGATGGTTTCGGTGCAGTGCAGTGTGTTGCGGCGTAAAGCGGTGTTGTGTGGTGCACTGTGGTGTCGTGCGGTGGGTGTGGTGCGGTGTAATGCTGTGTGGTGTGGTGCAGTGCGGAGTGGTGTGGGCATGTCTAATTCTAGAAAGTAAGCATGTACCCCCATGCCATGCCATGCCGTGACCACCAGTCTAGGCCATCTTTTTCCTGGCCTGCTTTCCCAGTCGGCCTGCTTTGGCTAATGTTCGCCCCCTGCCTGCTGCCCCACCGCGGCACCACCACCACCACGACCACGAGCAGCAGGCATGGAGGGCGAGGCAGCAGGCTCATTCTCCTACAGCAAGGTGTTCACCCTCCCTGCCACCGTCTATTACGATGATGGCGCCATGCCGGGGGGAGCTCAGCACAACACCCTCTCTCCCTCCGCCTCTTCCTCCTCTTCCTCTTCCTCTTCCTCTTCCTCCACCACCTCCTCCTCTGCCTCCTCCTCTGCCAGTGTTCTCACGGTGCTTCCTGCGACAGCGGGAGACGGCGCTGCTGGTGAGCGTTCGTTTGAATCCTCAGAAATCTATGCTACTCTTGAGCAGGTCATCTGTCTTCGCACTCTCTCACACCAGCCGCCTGTGCCCGCGCGTGCGGTGTTGGCTGTTCTGTTACAAGACAGCGTTGGTGTCTTTTTCAACTTACAGCACAGACCACAGTCGTTTTCTCTCTCTCAACCTAGTTGCACTCTCCTCCCGTCTTTTTGTCTCTCCTCCCTGGTTCATGCTTCTCACGATTCTTGTCTATGCATGCGTGCAAGGCAATGCAGGTCAGGCCAAGGCCACCGAAGCCACCGTCACAACTGGCACCATGCTCTTCCCCACATTCAACCCCACCCCAGACCCCACCTCCAGCCCCACTCCCCCCACCACCACCTCAACTTCCTCCTCCTCCGCCTCCTCCTCCACCTCCTCCTCCGCCTCGCCTGTCTATTTCTGTGCGCCGGGGTGCCGGCTGCAGCGGCTGGCGAACGGGGTGTGCGATGCGGCATGCAACACGCGCGCGTGCACCTTTGACGGTGGCGACTGCGCGTGTGTCGACCCGATCTTTGGCCCCGGCATCTGCCCCTGCCCGCCCGCCCACACCCGCCGAGACGATGGCTGTGAGCCTCACACCCTCACTCCCTGCCCTCACACCCTCACACCCTCACTCCCTGCCCTCATACCCTCACTCCCTGCCCTCACACCCTCACTCCCTGCCCTCACACCCTCACTCCCTGCCCTCACACCCTCACTCCCTGCCCTCACACCCTCACTCCCTGCCCTCACACCCTCACTCCCTGCCCTCATACCCTCACTCCCTGCCCTCACACCCTCACTCCCTGCCCTCATACCCTCACTCCCTGCCCTCACACCCTCACTCCCTGCCCTCATACCCTCACTCCCTGCCCTCACACCCTCACTCCCTGCCCTCACACCCTCACTCCCTGCCCTCATACCTCACTCCCTGCCCTCACACCCTCACTCCCTGCCCTCACACCCTCACTCCCTGCCCTCACACCCTCACTCCCTGCCCTCACACCCTCACTCCCTGCCCTCACACCCTCACTCCCTGCCCTCACACCCTCACTCCCTGCCCTCACACCCTCACTCCCTGCCCTCACACCCTCACTCCCTGCCCTCACACCCTCACTCCCTGCCCTCACACCCTCACTCCCTGCCCTCACACCTCACTCCCTGCCCTCATACCCTCACTCCCTGCCCTCACACCCTCACTCCCTGCCCTCATACCCTCATACCCTGCCCTCACACCCTCACTCCCTGCCCTCACACCCTCATTCCCTGCCCTCACACCCTCACTCCCTGTCCTCACTGCACCAAGTCACCGTTTTTTGTTTCATTTCACCCTGACCAATCCCCCCTCCCCCTCACCCCTACCCCCCCCCGTGTTCTTTTCCTTGTCGAATCCACTTGTTACTTACTTTGGTATCTTCTTCACCTCCTGATGTGGCTTCCCGTCCCTCAGATTTCTCCCCTCTGTCTCTCTCACCCTCACTCTATCTCCTCTCTCCCCTTTCTCACTCCCACTCCTCGCCCATCCCATCCTGCCCTGACAGCTTGCTGCCTATCCACAGCGGTGGGGACCAACCTCAACTTTCCCTTCTCGCTGCAGCGCTACGGCCCCAACTACACTGAAACCAACCACGCATTTGCTGCTGAGAGAGATACCGCTGTCGACCGCTTTGTATCGCATCGCAACCGGTGCGCCCCATGTTTCACGCCCATGTAGCGGATTGGGAGTTCGTGTGATATTCCACCCTCTGAGTCAGCATCTGTACCGCTTAAGTTTTTTTTTGCCTATTTTCCTCGAACCCAGCGCAAGAATCTGACAGGATGCTTTTTTCTTCTTCTTCTTGTTTCTTGTACTCTAACACCATGCTAACCACTCTATCCTTTTCTCTCTCTCTAAATCTCCCCCTTCCCTCTCTTTTCCCGATTTCCTCATCTTTCATCATCTCCCTGTCTTTCCCCGATTTCCCCCTTCCGGCCCTCTCTCCTTGCCCCGTTCCCTTTCCCATCTCCCACCTGTGACCAGGCTACTGATAGGCATGGTATTGCAACAGGACAGGTGGGGCACGGAGGTCTGCACTGGACAAGGGTGAGTCTCTCAACGTTCATTTCATGCCCACCGCTCTCCCCATCCTTCCTGCACTCTTCTGCACATGAGTTGGCATTGGCATCAGTTGCTTGAGTGATGCGGTGCTGCTGCCTGCCGGTTCCATTTTTCGCTGCTCTCAGCACTGCTGGAACGACGATGAGCGCCAGATTCCATGTGCCGCGTGCCATGCCATTTTCCGTGTGCCATCACATAAGCTGTCACACTCACCTTCTCTCTCCAGGCAGCAACACCTGCACATCACTTCCCTCCCTCCACTCCCTTTCCCCCCACTTCCCCCCTCTTCCCCCCTCTTCCCCCCTCTTCCCCCCTCTTCCCCCCTCTTCCCCCCTCTTCCCCCCTCTTCCCCCCTCTCCCCCCCTCTCCTCCCGTCCCACCAGTGTGATGCACCTGGGAGGATGGTGCAGCAGCGGCCCATCCAGGCAACCCTTTGGCGTCAACCCGCACTTCCTGCCCACCTCGCCGATCTACGACAGCGCTGCGAGTGCCAACATGAGCCAGCTCGACAACAGCACCTTTGGCTCCAAGCTACTATTCAACCCACAGGGCCTTCCCTACGGGTTCATCTACCCTGTTGTGAGTGGGAGCGAGTGAGACTCGAGAGAATGATGATGCATCGCCGTCGCGTCGAGTCGACTCAGCAGTAGTGTCACCTATGGCTTTGTCAATCTGTTTGCAACGCTGTTGTCGGGCCGTCAGTCAGGGAGCAGCACCATGGAGCTAGCCAACGGTGGCACCGCAGGAAAGGGGCGTGGCACCGCAGGAAAGGCGTGTGGCACCGCAGGAAAGGTGTGTGGCACCGCAGGAAAGGCGTGTGCCACCGCTGGAAAGGCGTGTGGCACCGCAGGAAAGGCGCGTGGCACCGCAGGAAAGGCGTGTGCCACCGCAGGAAAGGCGTGTGGCTCCGCAGGAAAGGCGTGTGGCGCCGCAGGAAAGGCGTGTGGCGCCGCAGGAAAGGCGTGTGGCACCGCAGGAAAGGCGTGTGGCGCCGCAGGAAAGGCGTGTGGCGCCGCATGAAAGGCGTGTGGCACCGCAGGAAAGGTGTGTGGCACCGTAGGAAAGGCGTGTGGCACCGCAGGAAAGGCGTGTGGCACCGCAGGAAAGGCGTGTGGCGCCGCAGGAAAGGCGTGTGGCGCCGCAGGAACGGCGTGTGGCGCCGCAGGAAAGGCGTGTGGCACCGCAGGAAAGGCGTGTGGCGCCGCAGGAAAGGCGTGTGGCGCCGCAGGAAAGGCGTGTGGCACCGCAGGAAAGGCGTGTGGCGCCACAGGAAAGGTGTGTGGCGCCGCAGGAAAGGCATGTGGCACCGCAGGAAAGGCGTGTGGCACCGCAGGAAAGGCGTGTGGCACCGCAGGAAAGGCGTGTGGCGCCGCAGGAAAGGCGTGTGGCGCCGCAGGAAAGGCGTGTGGCACCGCAGGAAAGGCGTGTGGCGCCTCAATAAACTCTTCCCTCCTGCCTCCACCCCCTTGCCCCTGCCTCTCTCGTGCCAGGACGCGCTTCCGCGCTTCCCCCCCTTCATTGTCCGTGTTTGACATCAACCTGGACAATGAAGGAGCCACGGGGTGTCTTTTGAGCCAGCTAAAGAATACACGCCCGGCCCTGTGTGTGTGTGTGTGTGTGTGTGTGTGTGTGTGTGTGTGTGTGTGTGTGTGTGTGTGTGTGTGTGTGTGTGTGTGTGCGTGTGCGTGTGTGCGTGTGTGCGTGCGTGCGTGCGTGCGTGCGTGCGTGCGTGTGCTTGTCTGTCTGTCAGGACGCGCTGCCGCGCTTCCCGCTGGTGTTTGACATCAACTTGGACAATGAAGGAGCCACGCGTCGCCTGCACTACCTGGTGGAGGGCGGCTACATTGACAACAGCACGCGCAGCATCGACGTCACCTTCATCACTTTCAATGGTACTGCCTCTAGGAGCCTCACCTATGCTAGTCACATCTATTTTGCATCGTCAATCCCACAGAGTGCCGCCTGCACTGCCTGGTGGAGGGCGGCTACATTGACAACAGCACGCGCAGCATCGACGTCAACGGTGCAGAACCTTTCATCAGCTATGCGAATTGGCTAGTTTGCTAGTTTTTTCTCACAACAACTGTTTTTTCCTTGGCTGCTGCTCGGTGGAAATGGCTACGTCGACAACAGCACGCGCAGCATCGACATCAGCTTCATCACCTTCAATGGTGCTGCAGGACCATCCACAGGAGCAGCAGCAGCAGCAGCAGCAGAAAACTCGACTTCTCTAGTTGCGTATACGGTTTGCATCATTTACCCGACAGAGTGCCACCCTCGCTTCTACAGCCTCTTGCAATGGGCTTATGATGCTCCCTCGACCTCCTTGTATCACATCCCCATCCTGGCGCTCTGATTTCTAGCGCTTTGCTTTGTGGCGCTCTGTTTGTGTACATGATAAATCACTCCTCCCATGGTGCATGCTCCTAACTCCCCTCTCCTTTTACCCATCCCATAGGAGCGAACTAATCTCTCAAGTCCCCTGCTCCTCCTCCCATTGCACACCTCTCCCCTTCACAACCCTCCGCCCTCTCCTCCCCAACAGGCGAGGCGCGCACGTTCGTGCTCACCACAGTGACATGCAGCGTGAACACGGGCGGGCAGATAGGCGTAACCATCAGATCCCAGCCAGCATTGATGCACATGTACGGCAGCGACTCATCCCCCGTCAACACCGCGCGCCTTGTGCTGGAGATATTCTACGTGTTAGGGCTGCTGTGGAACGTGTATGGGGAGGCGCGTGAGATGATGGATCATGTGCGCATGGAGGGCACGGTGCTGGGGTACTTTGGGCTCGTGTGGAACTGGGTGGATCTCCTCTCGCTCGCACTGCAGTTCACCACCATTGCCATCTGGTGAGCGGTTTCTGGTGCTATTGCCATCTGGTGAGCGCCGCCTCATGGGTGAGTAGAGGGCTCATGGGCGGGTGGGGGACTCATGGGCGGGTGGGGGACTCATGGGCGGGTGGGGGACTCATGAGCGGGTGGGGGGCTCATGGGCGGGCTGCTCAGTAGACTTCGTTCTGTTTGTTTGTTTTGACGACTTCTTTTTTTCTCTGGTCGTACCTTTGGCGTGTCGTATCTGGTGAGCGGTTTATGGGTTCAATTCAAGCGGCACCTTCTCAAAGCTTCCCGTCCCCTTTCTCATCGCCCACTTCCTTGGCCCCACTGTTGCTGCTCATACTCCCTCGTTTCACACTTTGCATCATATGCTTTCCTGTTCGCCCTTGCTTGCACAAATACTTGTCCCCACCCTCTCCCCTCTTTCCCCTTCTCGCCCACATTCCGGCTTTCTTTCCACTATCTTTTGCGCGCTTCCCGCTTTCGATTTCCCCAGCTCCTCCCGCCTCATTGTGCATCTCCTCTTCTCTGCTCCCGCCATGGGTGTGTGCCGGTGTGTATGCATGCAGGATGGTGCTTTGGCGAGCAGTAGAGGCCTTCGACATGTAGCCGCGCTACAACATTCACTATTTGCTGCTGGAGACGCCGCACTACTTTCAAATCGACTCGAGATTCCCTTCCTCCTCTCCATCATCACCCCCATCTCTGCGTGCCGGTGTTATGCATGCAGGATGGTGCTTTGGCGAGCAGTAGAGGCCTTCGACATGTAGCCGCGCTACAACATTCACTACTTGCTGCTGGAGACGCCGCACTACTTTCAAATCGACTCGAGATTCCCTTCCTCCTCTCCATCATCACCCCCATCTCTGCGTGCCGGTGTTATGCATGCAGGATGGTGCTTTGGCGAGCAGTAGAGGCCTTCGACATGTAGCCGCGCTACAACATTCAGTACTTGCTGCTGGAGATGCCGCACTACTTTCAAATCGACTCGAGATTCCCTTCCTCCTCTCCATCATCACCCCCATCTCTGCGTGCCGGTGTTATGCATGCAGGCTGGTGCTTTGGCGAGCAGTAGAGGCCTTCGACATGTAGCCGCGCTACAACATTCAGTACTTGCTGCTGGAGATGCCGCACTACTTTCAAATCGACTCGAGATTCCCTTCCTCCTCTCCATCATCACCCCCATCTCTGCGTGCCGGTGTTATGCATGCAGGATGGTGCTTTGGCGAGCAGTAGAGGCCTTCGACATGTAGCCGCGCTACAACATTCACTACTTGCTGCTGGAGATGCCGCACTACTTTCAAATCGACTCGAATTCCCTTCCTCCTCTCCATCATCACCCCCATCTCTGCGTTCCGGTGTTATGCATGCAGGATGGTGCTTTGGCGAGCAGTAGAGGCCTTCGACATGTAGCCGCGCTACAACATTCACTACTTGCTGCTGGAGATGCCGCACTACTTTCAAATCGACTCGAATTCCCTTCCTCCTCTCCATCATCACCCCCATCTCTGCGTTCCGGTGTTATGCATGCAGGATGGTGCTTTGGCGAGCAGTAGAGGCCTTCGACATGCAGCCGCGCTACAACATCTACTACTCACTGCTCGAGATGCCGCGCTACTGGGCCGTGCCCAACCCGCCCACGGGGTTCATGCTGGCGGGGCAGGCCTTTCTCGACCTGCGGTACATCATCAACCTGCGCGCCGTGTACTTCGCCCTGCAAGGCATCAAGTGAGTGAAGCTTGAGCGGTCTGTGCTGGCACAGGAATGCTGTGCTGGCACAGGAATGCTGTGCTGGCACAGGAATGCTGTGCTGGCACAGGAATGCTATGCGTTTCAGGCGCCTCAAGGAGCGCCCACTGGGTTCCTTCCTGCTGGTGGGACATGCGTTTCTAGACCTGCGCTACATCATCAACCTATGTGCCGTGCCGTGTACTTTGCCCTGCAAGGCATCAAGTGAGGCTCGGGCATGCTGCGCGCTGGCCCTGTTGTGAATGCATTCGGGGCGCGGGCAGATAGACAGGCAGACATGCATCATACACATGCACACAACACACATGCTCAAAACACACACACGCACGACACCACGCACGCACGCATACACACACACACACACACACACACACACACACACACACACGCACCTTCCACCTGCCCTCCTTACTCCCCGCACCCCCGGAACCCTTGGCCCTCTCCCAGCCTGTTCCTGATGATGGTGCGTCTGCTCAAGTTCATGGACTTCCAGCCGTACCTGGGGGTCATCACGCGCTCGCTCGCCCTCGCCACGCCCTCGCTGCTGCACTTCTTCCTGCTCTCCTTCGCTGTCTTCTTCTGCTTCAGCATGTACGCCTACCTCGTCTTCGGAGGCGCTCTTGAACAGGTGCGTGGGTGTGATGAGGAGCAGGTGTGATGAGGAGCAGGTGTGATGTGGAGCAGGTGTGATGTGGAGCAGGTGTGATGTGGAGCAGGTGTGATGTGGAGCAGGTGTGATGAGGAGCAGGTGTGATGTGGAGCAGGTGTGATGTGGAGCAGGTGTGATGCGGAGCAGGTGTAGAGGCGTGCTGTTCCTATGCCTGCTAATTCTCGGTTTTGTTCTCGCCTCTCGTTTCTCTCCCACATTCATTTGTTTCATTTCCTCACACCCCCACACCACTGCCCCCCTCAACCCCCCTTTCCCCCCGCCCTTCCCTCCTCCCCTTCCCTCCTCCCCTTTCGTCTTCCCCCTTCCCTCCTCCCCTTCCCTCCTCCCCTTCCCTCCCCCCCCTTCTCCCCACCAGTTCTCCACGGTCCTCACCTCCATGTTCTCCTGCTTCCTCCTACTCCTCAATGACAACTCCTCCGCCTACTTCTTCCAGCGCCTCGAGTCGTGGGACCTGATCGCAGCGATGCTATTCTTCCTCATGTTCATCGTGCTCATGGTCTTCATCCTCCTCAACTTCCTCATCGCCATCATAGTCGATGCCTTCATGAGTGTCAAGGACAGCAACGTCGTTGCCACGTCGATCACCTCTGACCTTGTGCACATTTGCAAGTACAAGTGGAACTGCTGGTGCGGGCGCTACATGCCGTACTCGCGCCTGCTGCAGCATCTGGTGAACCTGGGAGCTAAGGACACGCGTGTGGATGAGGTGAGGGGAGCACATGCATGCATTTTTGGGTCGACTCAGGAAGCACCTCGTGAATCGTCTTTGAGCGTGCCTGCTGCAGCACCTTGTGAACCTCAGTGCCAAGGACGCGCGCGTGGATGAGGTGAGAGAGCGCGTGTATGTGTTTTGAGCCATCTCTCAAAAACGCCGAGTCGGCTCAAAACACGCCGTTTGAGTCGGTTCAAAGCATGCTGCAGCACCTTGTGAACCTCGGCACCAAGGACGCGCGTGTGGGTGAGGTGAGAGCGCAGTGAGCACCCACCCGCACTGCACCGCATATGCCTTGTGGACTATTGTGCGCTCTTTCGCCATGCTTGCATTGTCCTGGAGGAGAGTGCTAGACTCTGTACACTGTACACATATATGCAAATTTGATTTACATATGTATACAGTATGTGTATATGCATATTCTTGTACCGAGTTAGCATCAATTTGCCGGCGCACATGCCGGCTGTGATGGTGGTGAGAGTATGCCAATCTGGTTGCACTCACATCGCTGCATCCCTCCCGGGATCTTTGCGAGCTCCTGCTTTTGGCCTTCTGCTCCTGCTCAACAAATGATCCCAGGACAACTACCTGTCTCCAAACATGTGCTCTTCAGGCGGACCGTCGGATGCGTCGCTACAAGTCGATCCAACGGCGGGTAGGGTCTGTGTTCTCGAGCCGGATTGGCAGCGGCAACAGAGCCTCGTCATCGTACTTCACGCGTGCAGGAGACTCGCAACCAGCCTTTCCCGTGGCGGCGGTGCCTCGGGTGCGGAAGCAGCACGTGCTGAAGGTGAAGGACAAGCGCATTGATGAAATCTCCCTCTCCATCATTTTGCAACGACGCCTCGACCGCCAGGTGCGTGCGGCACGGTGCTGTGCTGTGCTTTGCTGTGCGGTGCGGTGCTGTGCGGTTCTGTGTTGTGCAGTGCGGTGTGCTGTGGTGCGGTGTGGTGAGCTGCACTGCTCTAGTCTGCCCACGGGGTTATTGGTACGATCTCTGTGGCCTGTGGCTTGGTTCACGAGGCACAGGGCTCACGGCATGGGGCATCTGGCATGGGGCATGTGCTGTCACGCGCCTTGTGGTGCTGACGTGTATCATGTGGGAATGAGTATCCCCGCATCTAAGGCAATCCTGACTTTCAGCTCAGCACTTGCATCGCACAGCCCACCACAACAACCCCTCCTTCGAGGTAGCTTCGTTCACCACAACCCCATCTCAAACTTCACCTCACCATCGCAATCTCTACCCACCGTTCTCCACCTTCGCCCCACGCCATCTTCCATCCCTCTCTTCCACTCCCTTCCACTCTTTCCCTTCTTACCTCCTCCCTCCTGCTCTCTCCCCCCCTCTTTCTCCTTCTCTCTCCCCCTCTCGCCACCCCGCCTCTCTTTCCCCCTCTCCCTCCCCGTCTTGCCCATTCCCCATCTCGCCCGCGCCGCATCTCCCCACAGCGATCGCGCGGGCACCAGTCAGCCACTGTCAAGCCATCAGACACCTTGTGCAGTGCCGTGACATGTTCGTCCGTGGGCGCGGGCGCACACGACACGGGAATGGATGAGCTGTCGCAGGCACTCGTGCTGCAGTGCGGCGAGGTGGTGAAGCAGTCGGCGCTGCCCGTCAAGAAGCCCGTGCAGAAGCTCAGCCTCGCGCACATCCAGGTGAGTGAGTGAGTGAGGCACCCGTGGCTCTGGTCGTGCATGGACAATCCTAAAAACGCCATGAGGAAGAGCAGCAGGATTTGTAGCCTTTTTGAGACGTCTCAGAAAAACTACTTTTATTACATAGGCGCGTCAAACACTGGCTAGCTGCCAATGAAGTCGCCCGTGCTGAAGCTCAGCCTGGCGCACATCCAGGTGAGTGAGTGAGTGAGGCATTCGTGCCGTGACGCTGGTTGCGAGGAAGAGCAGCAAGGAGTTAAGGCGCGCCGCGAAAATCGGCTCTCTGCCAGTCAGTACAAACAGAAACAGGAGCTCCGCTTGGCGCACATCCAGGTGAGTGAGTGAGTGAGTAAGTGAGGCACCCGTGGCGCTGGTCGTGCATGGACAATCCTAAAAACGCCGCCTGCGAGCTCAGGATGGCGCACATCAATGAGAGAAGGGTGTGGTGTGGCGGTGGTGGTGAGGCAGAATAGCCATGATTTTGCGGCACCTTTTGAGTCGAATCAGGAGTAAGAGCAGCACTGCTTGTGCAGCGGCTTTAGAGTTGAGACACGAGGCAAGGCAACAAGGCAGTGTAACAGGTGGCAGATAACAGAGTCTTTCCTGGTGATGCAAAGGGTGGCGGCGTTTGCAGGTAAAAGGTGGATGCGATGGCGACCCAGGCGTCAAATGGGAATTGCTTTTCAAGTCAACACATCAGATGACCACATCAGATTCAGCACCTTGGCACTGACTTGGTGTTGTTTTACCATTGGAAGCCGACACACTTGCTCTCTTACGTTTGTGCGCTCCTGGCTCGAGACATCCCTTTTCAGCCCTTTCCCACACATTCCCCCCCATCTCCACGCATCCCCCCCACCCTTCCCCGTCCCCACACTTTCCCCTCCTCCCCCGGCTCATGCCCACCTGTTCCCACGCATGCCTGTGGAGGAGGAGGTGAGGGGCATGGTGACGGAGCTGCAGAGAGGTGCTTTTTGAGTCGACTAATAAATATTTCCGTGCATCTCCCCCGCGCATCCCCCCCCTCGCATCCCCCCCGCGCATCCCCCCCTGTCCCCGCGCACTCCAGGAGGAGGTGGTGCGGAGCCAGCAGGCGGTGGAGGAGGTGAGGGGCATGGTGATGGAGCTGCAGAGCGAGGTGCGCGGCATGATGGCCAGCGTGCGCAGCGACATGCGCTCCATCATGGCCCTCCTTGTCTCAAACCACACTGCTGCTGCCGCCGCCGCCGCTGCTCCTGCCGGTGGTGGTGGTCCCCCTCCTCCTTCTCCTCCATCTCCTCCTCCTCCTCTGCCTCCTGCTGCTGTTGCTGCTGTTTCTGCTGCCGCTGCTGCTGCTGTGCCTGCTGCCAGTGCTACTGGTGTATCAGTATCAATGGTACGTCCTTCCGTGCGGGTGTCACCCCCTCAGGCTTCCCCCACACACTCAACTCTGAGACAGCGGTCACCCGAGCATGGGTTGTGCCAGAATAGACTGAGCGGCGAGAGCAGGGTCGAAGGGGGCGATGCTACTTTAGGAGATGCGGCGTCAATGGGGAATTTGCAGCAGGCAGTAGGTAGTTCTGGTAGTACAAGAATAAGTGGGAGCTTGTCTGGCAAGCGAGGGTCAGATAGACGGGTCTCGTTCCTCGACGACACAATAGATGACGATGAGAGTCCTTCGAATAGAACAGGACCACAGCAACAGTCGTTGATAGATAAGGCTTAACTAGAATTCCTGTAATACAATTCACTCGATTCTTTCATGGTTCTGAATATCTTCAAAAACCATAATGCCACTACAGATAAGGCTAATTTTTAGTTTAATCTAAGTATATTATTCCCTCCTGATTTATCACACAAGCTAGCAAACACTCAGTCAGTGACAAGCATTCTGTGATCATCTACTGTGCACTACAATCATGTTCTGTCCTTCCTTCCACCAACCTGGGGATGAGTCCTCTTGAATCCTGATACATAAATTAACTCACCCTGCCATCCTATCAACCAATCGCATCCGTTCCGTTCCCCGCAAGAGGTACAAGAGAGGAGCAGAAGCAGCAGCAGAGCACAGGTGTGCAGTGCAGTGCAGTGCAGTGCAGTGCAGCACAGCACCTTCACAAGGCATCCCTCCATGGACACAACAAAACCACTGCAGCAGCCTACGCCGCTACCCTTACACATCGCTCCGTACGGTGACTTTCCAGCCATCCACCCACCCACGCACCACCACCACCCGTCCTCCCCTTCCCTCCCTCCATCCATCCACCTCCCAGCCAAGTCCAAGCAAGCAACCCTTCACATGCCATGACAGCCGCTCAATCCGTGTGGCGCTTCTGCTTGAAGTCCTGCGCTGCATCGCGGTAGGTAATGCAGCGACGCCACTCTAGAGGCGCCTCAAAAGCCATTCCAAAGCATCTAGTCCGCGTGGCGCTTCTGCTTGAAGTCCTGGGCAACGTCGCGGTAGTGCAGCGACGCCTGCTGCAGCATCTTCACGGGCGCCTTGGGTAGCTCTATCATCTTCCCCGCCACCGCCACCGGCAAGCTCAGCGAGGCAATCACAATGCACGCGATGAACTGGAAGGGCGTGAGCGGCACAGTGGAGGCAAACTTGCCGAGCACCTGCACGAGGAGGATCTGGAAGGCGGTGGAGGCGAGGAGAATGCCAAGGAAGATGGTGTTCTTCTCCATGCCTCGCAGCACGTTCATGCGCTCCATCTCCCTCGAATTCACCTCGTTGAACAGCTGCACAGAGGACGGGGGGGAGAGGGTGGGGTGTGGCATGGAAGGGAAGGGTTGAAGAACGACGCATGGAATCACACGGAGGCGCAGAGGGAACGCTTCTCCATGCCGCGTAGCACAGCACATTCATGCGCTCCATCTCCCTCGAATTCACCTCGTTGAACAGCTGCCCAGAGGAGGGGGAGAGAGGAGGGGAGGGGGTAGGGAGGGAGCAGGTTGAGGAACAACACATGGAATCACACAGAGGAAAGGCGGGGGGTGAGGGTGTTTGGGAGGAGGGGGTCGGGGGAGGTGAGAGAGGGAATGAGGGGGGTGGGGAAGGACGAAAGCCATGGCACAGAGGAGTATTGAAGAGTCAATTGAGCACTTTTTATATTCTCAGGTCACGAACCCCCAGGAAGCTTTTAGCACTTCAGCATTCAACAAGTCTTTGCTCCAACCTAACCTCCCTTCCCCCCATGCCAACACCCCCTTCCCCACCCTTCCCACCCCCCAGTTAGCCCCCCATTCCCAATCATCCCCCCCCTCCCCGCCAGCAGCGCACCTGGCAAAATACAAAGGTGTTGAAGACAACGGTGTCGAGGCGCTGCTGGGCGTCCGGCGCGTGAGCAAACCCGAAGATCCACTTGCCCCACATCATGATGGCGCCCAGAACGAGCAGCTGGAACACAGCCTGGCACGCGATGTTGCGCCACATGACCGCGCTGATGAACGGCGCGCGCCGCCCCACCGGGCCCACCTTCATGAGCTCGGCATCGGGCGGCTCTGTGGCGAGGGCCAGTGCTCCGAGCGTGTCCATGATGAGGTTCACCCACAGCAGCTGCACCGCTGTCAGTGGCGCGGCGCCTGGTGGGGACGAGAGGAGTTGGGTGGGGTGTGGGGAGGAGGGGGGAGGGAGGGGGGGAGGAAGAGGGAAGGGGGGGTAAGAGGGGGGAGGGGGGAGAGCGCCGAGAGTGTCCATGATCAGATTCACCCACAGCAGCTGCACTGCCGTCAGTGGGGCAGAGCCTGGGTACGGGAGTGGTTTCGAATGGTGGGGGTTGGCGGGGAGGGGGTTGTTGAAGGTAGAGGGAAGGGGTGGGGAAGGGTGAGGGGGGGGGGGCGGGGGAGGGGGGAGGGGGGGGATGAGAAAAGAAAGCAGGAAGGAGAGGTGGATGGGAGTGGGAAGAAAAATGAGAGGAGGAAAAAGGGGGTACGGAAGGGTAAGGGGGGGGAGGGGAGGGAAGGGGGATGGTGTGGGTGTAAAACACAGGTTGGTGGCTCTGAACAAAGAGAAAGCGGTGGTGACGTGCTGTACTTTCACAATAGCACACAGCGCTTACAAAGGAAGGATGGAGTGGGGTGAGAGGATTGATTGTAGAGAGAGGGCAGGAAGCAGCAAGCAAGGGGCGAGGCGACGAGACGCAGCAGCAGCAGCAGCGTACCAGTGGTGCAGGCAGAGACGAAGTTGGTGACGAGAGCAACGATGTTGACAGTGAGCTGGAACTGCACGAACTTCTGGATGTTGGCGTACACACTTCGCCCCCACTTGGCCACATTCACCACCGAGGAGAAGTTATCGTCCATCACTATCACGTCCGCACTCTCCTTCGCCACCTGTCATGCCAAAGAGGAGTTGGTTGGGTGAAAGGAGGGGTGGAGGGAGGGTGGGAGAGAGGGTGGAGAGAGGGTGGGTGAGTGGGAGGATGGAGAGTGGGAAGGAGGGAGAAACAGAGTGGGGCAATGAGGGAGGGAGGGAGAGAGGGAGCCCAGACGCAGGGCGAGTGCTTTTCTCAGAGGCCATGTCGACACTACCTTGAGCCCTGTGCCGTGCCGTGCCGTGCCGTGCTGTGCGGTGCTGTGCGGCTGTGCTGCGCTGTGCTGTGCTGTGATGTGATGTGCTGTGCGGTGCTGTGCGGCTGTGCTGTGCTGTGCTGTGCGGCTGTGCTGTGCGGTGCGGCGCTGTGCGGTGCGGTACTGTGCTGTGCTGTGCTGTGCTGCGCTGTGATGTGCTGTGGATCCTGCCCTTCCCCAGCTCCTGTCACTCTCAAACGCCCGCGACTCAATCAACCCAGCGCCGCCATGAATGCTTCCGAACACCCCCCCTTTCACTGCCAGGCCCCTGCTCACCTCGGTGCCAGCAATGCCCATGGCGAGTCCGATGTCTGCCTCCTTGAGAGCAGGTGCATCGTTAGTGCCGTCGCCCGTGACTGCCACCACCTCGCCCATCTCCCTCAGCACGCTCACCAGCGTGTGCTTGTCCGTGGGGGATGACCGTGCCATCACCTGGGGGAGGGGGGGGGCGGAGGAGGTGGGTGGGGGGGTTGTGTGGGGGAGAGGGGAACAGTGGAAGGGGTTTTTACAAGACGCCACCACCTCGCCCGTCTCCCTCGGCACGCTCACCAGCGTGTGCTTATTTGTGGGGATTGGGAGCAAGGTTGATAAGCAGGGAGGCAAGAGGGCAGGAAGGCACGCGGGCAGGAGGGCAGGAAGGCACGCGGGCAGGCGGGCAAGCAGGCAGGCAGGCAGGCAGGCAGGCAAGCAGGCGGGCGAGTGGGCAGGGAGGCAGTCATACCTGGAGGCGGGCATACCTGGAGGCGGGGCAGCAGTGCCATCATCTGGTCCTTGGAGAGCTGGCGGAACTTGGGGCCCTCTATGGCCTCGCCCGTCTCCGTGAGAATGCCACACTCGCGCGCTATCGCCATGGCCGTGTTCAGGTTGTCCCCCGTCACCATGCGCACCTGGTGTGGTGCCACCATGCACGCGTGGGGGACATTGCACAGGTGGGGGGGAGGAGGGAGGAGTGGGGGGTGAGGGAGGGAGGGGTGGGTGGAGAGGGGAGTGGGAAACCGAGGGAAAGGGAGGGTGCAGAGGGGAGGGGCAGGCAGAGAGGGATTGTGTGAGCAGTGTGAGGGGACTGTATGTGGTAGCAGTTGCTGGTGAGAGCCGTGTGGCATCTGTGCTTGTCGGACGCTGGCGTGTGCGCCTGGACTGGGGAGACAGAGGAGACGTGCAATGGGGGAAAATGAGGAGAGAGGGCTAAGGAGAAAGCAAGCACGGTGCTGCTTATTGTGCAAGTGGGAAAGGAGGAAAGGGTTGGCATGGTTATGGGTGACAGAAAGTGGAGTAGGTTACGTCTTCTTAGCATTGTAGCATTGTGAAGTCTTTTGAGCATGTGCATCGGTGGCCTGGCTGGCCTGAATGGCTGGTTCACAAGGTGTATACAGAGGGCGAGGGGGCATGTGTAGGGGGGAGGATATATAGGGGCGAACGAGACAAGGAAGAGCGTGATGGTTGGGAGGGGGAGGGTGGGGGGGGCAGGCCAGGAAAGGACAGCGCGACAGGAATAAACAGATTTGGATTGAGGCGGGCAGGTGGAATGCGGGTGGGGAAATTCGGGTGGAGGGGATGTGGGTGGGGGTGTGGTTGAACGCAGCAAGTGGAGGAAACCGAGCCCGGACAGCAGGATCCGGAATAACAGTCACAGAGAGAGAGAGAGCATGGACGCAAGGGGAGTGAGTGGAGGGCAGCGCGCGCAGTTACCCGCATACCGCATCATCCCCTTGGTCTCCACTCACTGGCAACTCCGCCCTTTCCACCACCCATTACCCACCACCACCACCACCCACCACACACAGGCCAACACCCACACACACCCCTTTCCCCTTCTCTCCCCCTTACCTTCCCTCCCCCCTTCCCCTTCCCCTTCCCCTTCCCCTTCCCCTTCCCCTTCCGCCCCACGCACCACAATGCCAGCGGTCTTGCAGGTCTGCACGGCGAGAGGCACCTCGGCGCGGAGAGGGTCCTTGATGCCCACCACCGCCTGCAGAATCAGATCATTGTCGGGGATCTCGTCGCGGTCGCCCCACACGCCACCCTCGGGGATCTCCCCCGGCTGCAGGTCGCGGTAGGCCAGTGTGAGCGTGCGCAGCGCGTTGTCTGCGAAGCCGAGGACTACTGAGTCCATGGCGCCAGGAGCGAGAGGGGTGACCTGTGGAGAAGAGCAGG